AAACCATGACATTAATGACTAAATGAAGAAACCCGGGTAAGAATTGAAGATGAGTCATGCAGATGGTATACTTAAGGGCATTTCAGGAAAGAGAGGAAGCCATAGGAGAAAGACAGGGATGAAACTTTGGCAATAACTTGTTTCTATGTGAAGCTAGGGTAAAGCTACATTATCATAGGTTGAAGGGTCAAAGAAAACAAGGAAGTTGTATTAATTTTCTGCTGCTGTGACAAACACCATGACTAAAAACAACTTAGACAATGAACAAATATATTTCATCTTACATTTCTAGGTCACAGTCGGTCTTTGACAGAAGTCACACAGAAACTCAAGGCAGGAACCAGGAGATAGAAATCATGGAGGCATCCCACTTGCTGGCTTGCTCAATGGCTCATGATCAGTTAGCTTTCTTATAACAGCCTAGGTCCACCTGCTTGGCGATAGAATTGCCCACCATATCCTAGGCTCTCCTATATCAATTAGCAATCAAGAAAATGTCCCACAGACATGTTCACAGGCAAATCTGATCAGGCAATTCTTCAACTGAGGTTTTTAATTCCTGGCGATTCTTTTTGTGACAAATTGAAAAGAAAAACTAACCAGCAAGCAGAAGTAGAGCTAGAGAAGGTTAAACATTTTAGGGAAAGATTCTAGTTGCATGGAATATATCAGCTATGAGAGTCAGTACCTGTCTCAATATCATCTTTAAGTGTAGATTTCAAGCTGGGTGTGGTGATGTGGCACTTTAATCCCAGCACTAAGAGTAAGGGGAAGGTGGATCTCTGGGACAGTGAGAGCCACATAATGGAGAAATCCTGCCTCTGAAAAAAAATAGGTGGTTAGATAGATGATGGATAGGTAGGTAGGTAGGTAGGTAGGTACGTAGATAGACAGATAGATAGATTTTTTTTTAAAGGGAAGGAAAAGATAGAGAAAGTAGATTTCAAATTGTTTTTGTGATTATGTGTCAAAAAAGTGCATTTCACATTAAAAAGTTGTGGGACTGTAATGGCCCAGAGTTATGGAGGAAGGGTCGAGGAAGCGTTAACCCCGGATGCCTCAAACATGAAGATGGCAGGAGTTGGCTCTCTCCCCCTTTCCAGACTGCTCCTACAAATCTAATTCCCCCACCATTAACCCTACTAAGAACTGACTACCCTGACAATCATCAGGTTTCATTCATTGTTTGATCATATAAGGACCCCTAACCACCCTACAGTCACTGAGTATGCAGACAAAGCATCTTCTAACACCCCTGCTCTGGCCACATGTACCCCTGTACATGGCCACAAAAACCTTACCCCAGAGACCCTCGGCACCTCCTAGAGGGCATAAGAACCCTCTTCCCCCTCCCCAAATAAACAGCCCAGCAAAGGGTCTGGCTACCATGAGACAGAAGCAGACATGGTGCTGAAAAAAGTAATAATTATGTTTTTATATAACTGAAATAGATACTTTATGGGATAGCATTTACATTAAATATGTGCATGTTTCAAATAAACAAATGGAATGATACAAAACCTTGTGTACTCCTCCATGGAATAATATTTTTTTAATTTTTAATTTTTTTTAAATATTAGTTACAGTTTATTAACTCTGTATCCCAGCTGTATTCCACTCCCTCATTCCCTCCCAATCCCACCCTCCCCATATTTCTTTTTGTGGTTGAATATTCAATTGAATGAATATTCCCCATTTAACAGTGGGTGGCTACTTAATTTTTTTCATGTTTTGGCTATTATGAATAAGTTGCTATGGATGTTTATGTATGAGTTTGTATGTGGGCTTGTTTTCTTTTCTCTTACATACATATCTAAGAGTAGAGTTTTTTTTTTTAATCAAATTATTCCTCTATTTTTTAACTTTTTGAGTAACTTTTAGACTGTCTCACATACTGGCTGTATCATTTTGCATTCTTTTCAGCTACATGAAGGTTCCTATTTTTGGTACTTCTGGGATCAAACCCAGGGTCTCCTGCATTCCAGGCAAGCACTTTACCAACTCAGCTCTATCCCTAAGCTCATTATCTGGCTTGTTGTTTGAAACTGTTCTAGTTAGTGTAAATTTTGTATCTCATTACAAAAAAAAATGTAATGAATATCCTGTATTTGCATTTCCTACATTTGGTTTGCATTTCTGATAGCTATCCATGTTGAGTATCTTCATATAATGCTATTCAGATCTTGTAATGATTTTTAAATAAGGTTATATTTCTTTTTAATAATTTATTACATTTTATTCATTTTTAATTTATTGGAGGGATATGGGAGGTTAGAGGACACTTGTGGGATTTTGTTCATTTCTTTAAATACATGGGCTCCAGAGATCAAGTACAGTCTATCAGGATATCTGCTGAGCATCCAAGCTGGCTCATAGTTCTCTTAAAAAATATTATTATTGTGTGAATACATGTGCGGTAGCATTCATGTGGAGAGCAGAGAACAATTTTGTGGACTTGGTTCCTGTCTCTTATCTTTTCATGGGATCTTGGGATAAAACTTGTCAGGCTTTCACATCAAGAGCATTTCCCTCTGAGCCATCTCACCAACCCTTGTATTATATTTCTTTCTGTGAATTGCAAGAACTCTTTATTTATTCTAGATACAAGTCTACAGTCAGATTCTTTTTGTAAGAATTTCTCCCCTTTTTCAAGGGGAGGAGGGTTCCACACATGTGATAGCATCCTTTGAAACAGTTGAATTTAATTAATTTCTCCTTGGTGTTTTTGCCACCCTTAGGAAACCATATCCATAATCACAAAGGTTTACCCTTAGTCCTCATATTGTATTAGTTACTATTATATCTAAACATTTAATAGTAATTCTTCGAAATCATTAGGTATTCGATTTATGTTCAGATTTCTTGTTGTTTCACGTGCCATAAATGAACATGTATCTGTATGTGTCCAGATTCTACATCAAGCAACTGAGTTGTTTGTGATGAGATCAGTTTATTTGCGATACACTGGATTATTGATCTTGAAGCTTTTCACAGTCTACATTTTATAATCAGAATTCTTATACTGTAGTAACCTTCCCCCCTTTGGTCCTCTTCGTGTTTGGTAATTGATAATTGACCTAAATGTTTGATGTGATTCAGGCTTTTTGTTGCTGTTTTGTCAATCACTCACAAGTGATTGTTCTATGGGCCAAATGTGTCAAGTGTGGTCTCACTTGGCGTTTATTCTATCCCAGAGAACCTGAGACTATTTTCTTTATGACTTACACTTATTCAGAATTTCTAATAATTTAATTAAGATAATGACTGTGTCTCAAAGACTTCTAGAGAATAGCAAACAAGTCCCATTCCACTTAGAGTCCACAATATGCTAACAGTTCTAAAATTTAGTTTGTTATACCTCTCTCTGATTCAGTGTCTTCTTTCCACTGCCGTCTACCTTATTCATATGGTTATAGGAATCTAAGAACAGGAAAGGGTCTGAGAGATTATTTGCATAAGATTATTTGCCTTCTCTTGAGAGCCCAGGAATTTGTAGAAACTACATGTATTTTTCTGCAGTTGGAGTTCTGAGATTTCACTTTATTTTTTGAGAAGTTTAAGTCCTCATGCAACAGAAAGGAGATGGAAGCCCAGAGGAGGTAAATGAATTGCCTGAAAGTTGCACAACCAAAAAGAAGTAGGAGTAAATTTGAACCCTTTTGGTCCCTACTTCAGGACATTTTTCCTCTAAAGCTGTAAACACTGAATAGAGGAATGCTTACAAGCAGATTGCAAGTTCTTTAAAAGTTTATATAAGGAAAATATTTAACCCAGAGTTGGCTTTCTTTTTTCGTATTCAGAAGGCTGGGATAGTGCATGTTAACTGTAATGTGAATAAGCCATAATTAGGGAAGGACGGGAAAACTGGAGCATTGCGTTATGAAGAAGTTGGTGCCTCTATGGTTGTGTCCGCAGCACTGATCTGTGAGATTTTGTTGCTGATTTTGCGTGGCCTGCCAAGTTTAGGCAGTGGTCAAAGACACGTTTGCTTCCTATTGGCCTAGGTTCCAGAGGGGTTGACAAGTTATATACCTCCTTCTACCTTCCAGCCCACCTTCCTGCATTTCCTATTCCTTCTCTCCATTCTTTATCCTGCCTTTTCCCTTTTCTTTCTCATCTTCATCATATCCTCGATTTATTCTTTCCATGCCGTCTTTCCTTCTCTTTCTCCTTTCCATAGACTCTCTCTGTCCTCCTTTATCATGCCTGTTCCCCTTCATTCGATCCTGTTTGCTTCCTCCCCTCTTCCTCAGTCTTTTCCCTATCCTCCAGTCTCTTACCCTTCCCTTCCCCCACAAGCTTCTCACCCCTACGTAAAAACTGGCTGTTGGTGGCTCCCGAGGAGAGAGAGCGGACTCGGAGCTTTGGGTCTTCCGATTGGCTGTCGTTGCTAGCACAACAGCTCAAGTCACGCCTCCGTGCCCTGAATGCGCAGCTGCAGCGTCTGCTATTGGCTTGTTCTCTTGTCAGCGTCTCTGTCAGAGACTCACGCCGGCACCCCCAGTCTCTACGTGAATAAAAAAGCAACCTACCAGCTGAGGTGGGGGTGGGGAGAGGAGAGGGAGAGGGCCAGCTAGGAAAGGCTAGGAAGAGTGGCTGGTAGCCTGGAATCCCTTGAAGAGAGCTAGCAGACGAGGCATCTTCGAAGCTAATGAACTAGAAAGAGTAGGGGAGACTGAGACTGACCGGTAGCCAGCTAGGCAGACGGACGCATGCCCAGACAGACAGAAGACTCTGGAGAACCTATAGGTTCTTTTTCCCTTCTTTTTTTTTGAAAAGCAAGATTTTGATTTTTCAGTGGCGCCCAAGAGAGAATGCTGGACTCTGCTACCTTCAGCTCAAGCTAAGATTTCTCAGCTAGGGAAGAAAGATCAGCCCAGTCCTGAGAGGGGGAGGGAAGCAAAAGCCCCTGCCTCCAACCCCCTTCCCTCCCCCGGACCAAACTAGGGGGACAAACCCAGACCTTCCCTAACCATCTGACTTCCTCCTTTCCTTTTTAGCATGGTGGCTGTATGGACAGTCTGACAGAACAGAGACTGACATCTCCCAATCTGCCGGCCCCCCACCTGGAACACTACAGTGTTCTGCATTGCACCATGACCCTGGATGTGCAAACTGTAGTCGTTTTTGCCGTTATTGTAGTCCTCCTGCTTGTCAATGTCATACTCATGTTTTTCTTGGGAACGCGCTGAATGGAGTCCAGCCACCTGAGCTGTTGCGAACTCTCACTTTGATTTCATCCCAAGAGACTCCGAGGGGGGAAAATCAAGAGAGACAGTCTGAGACAGGGAAAGAGAGGAAGAGAAAGAACAAGCTTTCTTACTCAGGGGGGAAAACGTTTTGAGCTTCAACATGGCCTCGCTGTGATATGTATGACGTTGGTATATTATCTCTTCCTAAATCTTTTGTCATGTCTTGTCTTTTAAATGTGCCTGTGAGCGTAGTTGCTTATTGCTTGAGTAAAATTGTTGATAAGGAATTGTTTTCTATTTAAGTGTGCATGTTTGTATGCATTCTCTATGTGACGTTTGTGGGGCAAGCTGTGTCCTGTTAAGGTGGCTTCGCAGTTTGTGATGTCTCGTTAATTCATTCTCTAAAAAGTACCTTTAAACTCCATTATGGAATTTTAATCAAAATTTCTCTCTTGCTTTGAGAATGCATTTGGATTTGTTTGGGGCTGGGGTTGCAGAAAGGGATTTGTGGAGGAGCATGATGAATTTTTGGCATTTCGTCAAAGTCTTGCACTGGTTGTTTAGAGGAAGACAAACCTATGCAAGAACTGGGTTTATGGAAAATAGTCTGTAAATGAGGCGCAAAAATTTGGGAACTGACACAGTGGGGTGCCTGGAATTGGCACTCAGTAACTCTGTCCTTTGAATTTCAATTTTGCTGTTCAGGGTTTTCAATTTCTGATTTGGAAAGCTGCCATGATTAAAACATTTGTTAAAGCAGTAAGTGTCATTTTCTTTGCAATCATGGAGTAGAACAAAAGTATTCTTTTGTATTTTGAATTAGCAAGAGAGGATTTTGACAAGATGTTTTGAGCTCCTTTTCCCAGATACTATACCCTTGATTTGAGTTTGAGCTTTTTTTTTTTTTTTTTTTTTTTTTTCTATTTCTTAGCGAGAAAACAAAATCCAGCCTTTTCTCTAGTTTGGGAATAATAGTTAATTTCGTTTGCAATGGTGTTTGTGAACTACTTCAAATAGAAGTTGATGAGAACTGATGAGATTTATTTTCTCATTTGTTGCTTAAGAACAGAGGTCTCTGAAACATGCATGTAACTGTAAGTATGTAATGTACTTAATTAAGAGTTTGAACACACAGAAAAAGACATGTAATGGGATGAGAGCTGGGGAAACATGAACTAGACACAGTGTTGCAGTTTGTGAAATGTCTGTATTATATAGCCATGGTGGTACTTGCTGCTATTACTATTATTATTTTTATATTTCTGTTTTTGCTGAGATACTTCTTGGCAAGACTAGTAAAAAGTCGTTTCTAGTACCAGTGAGTACATATTTCTCTCTTTTTTTTTTTTTTTGTTTTTTGTTTTTTTTCTTCTTTGCTGATGCAGGCAGATATTCCTCATTCTGTTGCTTACCTGACTTGAAACGGTGCCATTTCTGGCTCATACAGCAGTGAATCATGCCACATACACGCCCACACACATGCTTCTAGCTATACTCATGTGGGCGGCTGCTCATGTGTGATGTGCAAATCAGCTAGCATTATGCTGTCAATTTTCAGGTGTTGTTCAGTCTCTTTGAAAATGCTTATTGAGGGGGGCCTTGGAATAGTCCTGATAGACCGAGAGAACATTATTTAATGGCATAAAGTTGAGGTTTTGAACTTTAAAGTGTGCTCCAGGTGACTCTGTGGGTGAGAAGCTGAACATTCGTTCGTTCGTTCCCTTCCGTCCTCCTTCCCTCTCTCCCTCCCTCTTTCCTTCCTTCCTTGGTACCAAGGTAGAAGCATGATCTGAGAAGCTTGCTGGTAGTGATTTCACATTTATCACCCTTTAGTCTCTTTGTGAGGGTCCTTTGGGTAGAACTAAGAACCTTTCTGAAATGAGAATCTAGTACAATTACATATATGTTTATATACACATATATGTATATATTACCTGCTTGCTTCAGAAAAATATTTAAAGTCAGCTTGCATATCGTTTTTCAGACTATGTTGGAGAGTAGGGAAAGGCTCAGTGCTGAGTAGCTACAGATCTAACTTTTCTCTATTCACTGGTTGATTAATGGTGGGCTTTTTTTTTTTTTCCTTCAGTGTGTTTGGGATTCCCAATAATATTGACAGTTGGAAATCTTTGGACTAGGTGACTTCTAGGTTATTGCATTCTGTGATTTGGGATACCCATAAGGATGTGAAGTCAGAGGGAATGAATTGGAATGACAAATGAAAAAGAAGATGAATTATTAACCAAAGGGCCTGGCAGGGGAAGATTTATATATTTTGTGACATGTCTTGTTGCTGGTATCTGCAGAATAATTGTTTGGTTTTTGTTGTTGTTTTGCTTAAGGGATTTTTTTTCTAGCTACCTGGTCAAGAAATGAGAACTCCAACATTGGAATGCGTTTGACTTTTGATTTATTTTATCCTAAAGGGAAAAAGGAATATCTATAGCTAGTTTTTTTGACCCAGATTTTTTTTTTTATGATTTAAGTAATGTCATGAAATGCCTGACAAGCCCTTAAAAGAAAGCCTTTGGGAATGTATGTGGGTAGGGTGGTGCCACTCTATTTGTGGATCTATATGCATATTCGTGTGTGTGTGTGTGTGTTGGTTGGTTATAAATATTCCCTGAGTGTAGATGGAGAGTGTGTGGTGTAGGAATCTGTGAAGGAAGCATCAAGTCCCACAGTTCTGAATAGCTTTGTCTAGGGTTAGATGAATGTCACCTATGTTCATCACCTAAATCCTTTCAGGCTAGAGTAGAGAGGTGGTTTGAATGAGTCCTGCCATCAGCGACTGAAGCTATAAAGGCACATTACAAATTGAGGAGATGTTACTAGTGAGATAGCAAACCACTTCAGAGCAGCCTGAAGGGAGTTGAGGTAGCAGACAACAAGGGGGGCTAGTATGACTTTAGTTGAGTGAATCCTAAAGCCTTCATAGTTCTTTAAATATGTGAATGCATGCAGCAAGAGAAGAAAATGAGAAATGTAGGTCATAGGAGTAAAAGTCTATGCGATTAACTTATCTTCTTTTTTTCTGCTCTTTTCTGCCTTTTTTCGTAACTATTCTTTTCCTCTTTTTTTTGTCTCATCTGTCACTCTAAGTGCTTGAGATTTAAGAAAAGAGGGTGGAGCTTTTTCACTCTGATTTGCTTCAACTTTTTCTTCTAAAGCTGTTTATTTCCCATCCTTACACTGTTATCCTTTTGAGTAGAGGATAAGCTAGGAGTGTGCTAAATCCAAGCTAAGGGATTTTGGCCCTCAGCTCCCCACCCAGGAATTTAATAAAATGCTTTATACTGGTATCCTAGTAACCCATGAATCACCCCACAACCACTGAGCTTCAGAACCCACTCTTTAAAGGAACAGGCACCATGGTCTCTGTTCAGCAGAAACTGTAAGCCAGCAAAACTGGAAGAGATGCTCCTGAGAAAAGAACAAGAAAAAAACCCAGTCTTCATTGCCTGAAAATGCCTAGAAAATATATTCACTGTAGGCATGGAGAGCCCAGCCTAGTATCCATAGAGACTGTTGATTAGAAAATGACTTAGGAGTTCAACTCTCTCTTTAGTCACTACCCTTATTTTTAAGATTAACTGAGCCAGTTCACTGCCTGCCTTTTGTATAGGAAATCTGAAGTTTCTGAAGGAAATATTTTACCCCAAATTTTAGCTTCAGGAAGTGAGACAGTGAAGTGATAGTCTGTCATGAAAAAACTGACCAGCATATTTCATTCATTAAGACAAGTCTCACCTGTCAGAACCTGCAATAATCTGCTACTGTAGTTGGCTGGAATTTTGTTTGTAGCTCAGGGAAGCTTGCCAGCCCAGCTGGAGTGAAGGGCAGGTATGTGTGTGTTCTTTTCCTATGTTTCAGTAGTTTCTGACAGCGAAATGGAGCAAATTAGGAAAGTCACTTTGACTTTTGATTTGCTGAAAAGGGCTTGGCGCCTGGTTTAGTTTACTTGTGTGTGATTTGGTGTGTGTGTGTGTGTGAGAGAGAGAGAGAGGGGGGGGGAGAGCATGCTTCCACAGAGCGGAGGGATCCCAATAAACCTGTGAGTGAAGCACCCTACTCTGTTGTGAGGCCTAGATTTAGGGTGATTGACTGTACAGAGGATACACTCTGATAGTTGCAGCAACGCTGCTAAATATGCCCTCTTTAGCCTGTCTGCTACCATTGCATCTGATCCCATGGTGTGCAAAGTGAAAACAGAGCCTTTGCTCCCAAAATACCTCTTGCAAAGCATCTGGGTACAGCTCTAGTAGCTTTCTCATAAGAAGTGTAATGAAGGAAGCAAATCTTAGACTTCCTAGCCCTTATTTACAGCTTTGCAACTTCTCTAGGCTGTGTCTCTGGCTTTCCAAGAATCCCTTATTAAAGCTTAGTCCTTCCAATATGTGCCCAGAGTGTCTCTTTCTGTCCCCATGGATCTAGCACTCTAGAACATTTAATTCATTATGCTTTGCCCTGGCACCAAAGTACAACGTGGAAAAACTAGAAAGGAGAAAGGCCTCCAGGAAAGAAGTTGTTAATGGCTATGTCAGTAACACTTTGTCAATATATGGGCCTATAGAGCTTGCAAAGTGATTTTACATCTTTTCTAATTTTACATCATAATAGCCATTTGAAATGGGTAGGGATGCTCGCTGTTCCCAGATTTACAACTGAGAAGAGTAAAGGTGAGAACTGTTGGTGTGTATGCCTGTCTAACAGTGATGTAGAAGCAACAGAGCTGATCTTTTCCAGTTAGTGTGAAGCTGAAAGGGGTCACATGAGGAAGGAGGTGTGTATGAGTCACTCCTGAAGTCACATTGCTTCTTTAGATTTTCATGCTTACATTTTTAGTGCTTTTTAATGCTTAGCAGTTTTGAAAAAAAATTTAGTTCATAAAATATCTTCAACAATCATCAAACAGTTCTGTTTAGTCAGTCTTATGAAAAGAAAATGTCAGTATTTTGAATCTTCAAGGTAAAAGCCAGTGTGAATTGCTGAAACCTAAAATACATTT